AAGTTATTGCACTATGCCTAGATGCCAGATAGAAAATACTACCAAAAAAACAATAAGGACTACTACCAGATGAAAGCAAATTATCTTTGTCACCAGTAGCTTTGAAACAAAAAAAGGATCCAGCTTCTTCAAAAAGCTTTCCTTTAAGAATCAGTGTTCCCATCTGCAGTGGGCCAAAATTTCTTCTAATAATGTAGGATGTGATTGTAAATCCGAGCAGAATTTAGACCAATGGCTCTGACTGCCCTTTCAGTTGTCTCACTACTAGTTGGGCAATGTCGTGCTAGGATCTTTTTTAGAATATTGACAGGGACAGTGGCTTTAACACAAGACTGAGGTCTTCTGAACGTTGAATCTACTTCAGCTAAATGATAGGGCTTCTACCTGGCTAGGAGTCCTGAGTGCCAGCTCTTTGTATAGTGAGAGAGCAAGTAGATCACTAAGATGACTCCTTCTTTTTAGACATTCTTTGCTAGTATCAAGTTGTAAACTTGAGAGAAAAAAACCTATTCACACATAGAAAGCACCTTGAAGAAAAAACTGTAAAAGCTCATCCTTAGTCACATTCATATAAACCTACCAAAGTTAATCTTCCCAAGGCTACTTTATTGGGTTGACACCGTTCTTTTTACAGGGAGAACATGGCAGGTTCCACCAGAAATAAAAATTTTAAATTCCTTTTAGAAAAAAGAAAATGTTTCATGTAAGCTAACAATCTACCTCCTTTATGTACACGTGACAGCCTGAGGATCATTTTTCATGCCCAGATCTACCAGTTGTGGAAATACATCCAGCCAGTCAAATAGTATTGCAATTTACAACTGGCAGACATGAACGTGAATCTGAGCCTGTGACTTCTCTTTCACCTGTTCTGCCTGAAACTCTAACAAATCAGGATCAGGATTTTTTTTAAACAAAGTGGATCAGGAGCCGGTTTTATGACTGCATTCTTCAGAACAGGGAAATTGCAGAATGATTCATATGAAATTACAGAGAAAAGCCTATGTCTTAAAGGCAAATGTGAAGGATCCCACCGTCTTCAGCTGTGACCTCAACTAAGCAACATTTTTATGTCTGAGTCCCACTCTCTGACATTGTTTTCTGTAGAGGTGAAACATAATAGTAGAGTAATGAGGTTTATGAAATTTCTCTAATTTCTGAATTAACAATCCATACTCTTCTTAGAAGTGGCGTCAGGATACCCACTGCCACAAGTGATCAACAGCTTGGTTTCATAAGTGTAATTTTTATTATGCTAATTGAAGGTTCAGACTTCTGAAATTAGCAAAATGAGTAATTTTATTACAACTCTTTATTAATACTGTGCTGTCAGAGCATAGAAAATGGAAATCACTTACCCAGAATGTCAGAGGGCAACTAGACAATTGTGCCACCCTTCGAAATTACACTCCTTCATCTCATTCGGGCATACTGAAAAAATTCTCCCACTCTTAATTCTTTTCCTAAACTCTAGTACCTTTGTAACAGCAAACATGATTTGGGAGAGAACCTGCATCAGTAGTTTCATAGTCTTTAGCATTTTTGTGGCACATGACAACTTCTAAGGCAAGACATCGTCTGAAATAGTCTCTGAGGAAGAGGATTTTTGTGGGTTTTTTAATTAGTTCTAAATCTACTCTTTTTTCTTTTTTTTTTTTACATAAAAATGAATGCATTTAACATCATACAGTTTGGGACTAGGAGGGAAAATATGCATTAAGTCAAGTTTCAGAATGCATTAATGAGCTTATTCTGCATCTGGAAAATGAAAGAGAACAGTGTGAACCACTAGCCCAAATCTCAGCTGCACGTGAGGTAAGCAGCTAATTTATTTCAGCAGTGGAGACTGTTACAGGCAGAGCTATAGCAACTGAAGAGCACAACTCAGACGCTTGCCCAGTACTTTCCTTCACAGTTAAAATCTACCAGCAAACCGTACATCTTCTGCACAGCAATCCTGAACATATACAAGCAGCTGCACTCATCCAGTCGGTGTGTGCAAGCATCACTGGTGCATACACAATCACACTAATTGTATGTTTAAGCAACATAGCAAACACTGATTCTGTGATTAACATCTGGAAATATAAATCCTAGGAAGAAAACACCAATCTCTAAGCTAGCTTGTTTGCTTATTTGCTGGCTCTCTCTCACTTACCCTTGCGTTTTCCACTTCCATTGCTGCTTCCTTGTACTTACAAGCAGTCGCTGTACCTAACCCAGAGAGCACAGAAGATCTCCATGCGACTTGGTTCCCATTTGAGCACCCTTAGCCAAGGGTGATACTAAATGATCAGGCCTGGTTGGTTATTATATCTCAGCATGTCCCGACTTCCTCGGGAAGAAAATGGGGAAGGCTGGTCCAGGAAGGAGCTGTGCTGTGCTCCAGTCAGTCCCGTAGCTGGAATAACCAGGGAGGCAGGACTGTGGTGTTCACCAGGGAGCACCCCGACCCTGCAGGTCACCCTCTGCCCGGGTTCCTGCCCTTTCTCCTGCATTCCAAACAATGCACCTCCATCCTCAATAGGTTCAGCATTCTTTTAGAAGTTTGGTTTTAATTCTAAATTGCCTTAACTTGCAATATGACTTTGATGTTTTTAATGCCTCCTTGTAACACTTTTACAGTTACTTGAATAATGGAACAATTCCAGATACAAAAATATTGTGAGTACAAAAATGTTCTTGAGTTTTTGGCCAAAGCAGAGTTCAATAATCAAAGCAACAGTGGATTTCATCCTTTGAAGGATTGCTTTCAGATGCAGAAGATGACTCAACATGCTGAAGACTAGCCAACTGTTCTGCAGAAGTATTACCCAACACCCAGTTTAGTGACGAAGGTGGATGGGGATAGTACTAATTCAGTATGTCACGAATACCCCAGATGTACCCAAAAAAAAAAAAAAAGTGCCAAGCAGGATTTTTCAATTTTTGGTTGTTTAAAGTATTTTTTCTATCTAAAATTAAGAACTGAACCCAACTGTTTTCATACTGAACAGAAGAGGGAACACTTCAGTTGGCCCAAGAAAGTCAAATAAATGAAGGTCAGAAGAAAGTCAAATAAATGAAGGGCTAACGTCACAAAACTACTGGAGGAGGTAGTGGGTACCTTGTCCCTTCTTTATTCAATACCTAGGCAGTGCAGATACTCACCTGGGGCCAAGGGACACAGATTCAATTCTTTCTGCCTGAAGTGAACTGAACCTACGTATTCCACCTCCCAAGACAATGCACTAACCACTGCTACAACGTAGTGTGGAGCGACCACCAAATCTCCTCAGCCGATGCCATTCTATTTTGCATAAATAATTAAAATTCACTGGCACGCTGAGTCCCAGCTAACAAAGCCTTTCTATAGCATGCATCCTCCCGACCTCCAGGCTGTCGCCTTCCTCCCACTCCCTTTGTCCCAGGCTCAATGAATATTTCAAGTGAGAACGAAAACAACAGCAGCGACCAAGAGAAACCCATTTTGGACCTCTCTTACCAAGAGACGGTGGACCTAGTTCAGTCTCCCGCCCCAAATCAAGCAATGGGTGTATTTGAACTTGGATCTTTCATCTCTTTAGTGAGCAGCCTAACCAACAAAATGCAGCATGTTCTGTCCTACTTTTCTCCAAACTATTCATAAAATTACCCAAAGAATCCCCACATCTGTCAGTCGGCTGCCAATCTCTTCCAGACCAACACAACAACATTTACAAGGGACTTTAACAGGGATTTTTGTATCCAATTGGGAAATACTGAAAAAAAATTCCCAACAGCATTCAAACATTTCTAAAACTGTTCCAAAAATAAAAGTCAGACGTGGACTAAATTACTGTCATCTGTCTCCTATAAGAAGCGCATAGCAGTACGGAGGCAAGCAACGCTCGGCTTGCAGGGAGCAGCTATAGTGGAATAACAGGCTGGGTAACAAAGGGGGAAGGAGAAGCAAACAGAGCTGGGAAAGAGCGTGATGCAATCTCAGGAAGAAGAGCTTCAGAAAAAAATCACCAGTGAAGGTAAGAAGAGGCGATGTCTGAGCAGAAAATTGTTCCTTCAGACACTGCTCCGAAAGGAAACAAAGGTGAGAACGGCCATGTGCTAGCAGCAGCCCAGGAATTTACTGATAGCATCTTATTAAAGGTGAGGGAAACGCCCCCCTTCACTCAGTACATGAAAAAAGAGGGAGCTAGCTCCTGATATTTGGAAAGTTAACTGTTGTGTTTAACCACACAGTGATGCCATTGATCGTTTTCCACAAAAGAACATTTTCGTGTAGCTATATAAGATTTCCAATATTTCAAAAACTCAGTCCCATCAGTACGAACTGCAACACTTTCTTAGACAAGCAAAGCCTAAAACCAAAATGGCTTTTCCGTGTCTGTCTATATCTATATCTCACATTTTTCACTCTGTATGTATTTTTGCTAGTAGTACCGAAGATAGAATTAAGATAAAATTACTTTTTTCTTTTTTCCAATCCTTGGAAGAAGGTTAAGATGTGTTCAAAGATAGGAACACTTCTACTACTACCAGCTGTGCTACATCCCCTCTTTGAATATACAGCTTTGAACAGAAACATCACAGATATCATACTGTAATCATTATATATTTTAGGCAACATACTTGACCAAGGATAAAGCAATAACTAGACATTGTAGACACTAAGGAAATGAATGCAAGAAAAAAAAGGCTAAGAAATTTATTGTGAATGGACATTTCCAGGAGCAAAATACAGGTGAAATAGGATCTAAATATTACACTATATTGCTGGCAACAAATGAAAAATTATAGGTCAAATCTGAAAGAACAACATTGGTCAAATGCACACTTCAGCCTCTTTCTATACAAATACTGTTCTGAGATGGTCAGATAACACTGCAATGTTAAAGCTTATTTTTAAATTGTCATAATTTTGCCTTAATTCATGTGGTATACAGCAACCACGTACATAAAACTGACACACATATAAAAAAAAGAAAGACCAAAAGCAAGTGTAACTGGGGTTTGGTACTCACCTCCTTCTCCTGATCCCGAGCCATTATCTGAAAAAGAAACAGAGGGGGAGAAAAAAAGGAAAGCAAATGAAAATATTGCCCCAGAAGGAGCTGTTCAGGAACTTGTCACTGTAAAACGTTACACAGGTGTTGCATTTCATGAGCCAGGTGTAAAAACAAACATCCCACATAAAGTCTGGCATCCTTTAATACAGTTTGTCCACGCTTACTGTGCCTTACTTTCTCTCTTCCCTGTCAAGATATTTTTACTCAAGGAACAGCATCATTCAGTACTGAAAACTAAATTGCTTTCTTAGTCTTTTTTCAACTGTTAGAGATCCAAATTTGTTTAACTCAAAACAGATGAAGAGTACAGAGTCTGATTTTTGGAATATTTTTTTTTTTTACCCTCTGGCCCTGGGACTGGTACATGAAGGAGTGATATATAAATCACCTGACTGCAGAAGTACCTCCAGAAGAAAGCTGGTCCTCAAAGTAAAGTTGGCTTAAGTCATCTAACTACAAAATAGCTCCTCTCAGCTGAGTCAATCACTTCGTATAAGGATGCTCTAATGACATAGTTATTTCATTGCCATTAGACTGACTGGATTAGCATCTGATGAGTGACAGCTTGTGGCTGCATCCCCTTTGCACGAGTGTTCAAGTGTCAGCAGGACTTGAGCTTCCCCACCACCCCAGGCCAACTAACTCCACTTCGGAGTGTTATGGAGCTGGCTAGGGGTTTTGTACAGGGATGGGGAGCGCTCTGCACAGCGTCGTCAGCTAGAACGGCAGTAAAGACAAGCCCTTAAACACACGCTCTGAGTCACAAACCTCCCTCAGTCTTTCTTGCTCAGAGGAAGTGGAGAGGAGAGGATGAGATGGGATGGCAATTACTGTCAGTGAATTGCTCCCCATCCCTGTTCGCTCAGCTTCTCTGGCAGATGAGGAGAGGAGCAGAGCACACACACTGCTCGTCCCACACCTCTCCTTTCTTGCCTGCTTTGGTGATGGAGAAGGCAGCTGAATTTATTTCCGCAAATGTGAAAGAAGAAGGGGACCAGACAGAGAGAGGAGCGGGGTTCTTACTTCCACGTATGAGCTCGTTGTTCACATCAGAGGAAAAACCAAACCCTCCGTTTGCTCAGTTCCCTCCCCTACCTTTTTCTTTAAGCAGCTATATTTCTAAGAATAATTCCCTCTAGTGCATGGATGAAAGTGTGAAATTCCACGTTACTGGGTCACTTCACACATTAAAAATAATCTCCTGTCACATGGAGCATCAGGAATAGAGACTTTTTTTACCTCCGCCTAAATTTTCCTTTCTTTCCTCCTGTACACTATTCCATATCTAATAGACTGAGCTTATTACCTTACAGAAATGAATGCAAAAACAGAAGGGCTCTTGTTCCATTGATAGTGACCCACTTTACTGACAAAGGAGACAAGCCCATATAAAATGTCACTGTTGAGTTACTGAGAAATATGCCTTATGATGCGGTATTGCTTCATTAAGAAATTCGAAGGAGTATAATTTACTTATATGAGGCTTATTTGTAGTGGTAAAATTGTGTCATAAGCTGTTCTGGGGGAGAGAAGGCTGACATACAAACATAAGCAAGTTGAACATGTAATTCATATAAAAACCAAAGGCTAAAATGTCTCAAAGACACTTGACTTGTTCCATGATTTTATTTCCAACTCTCACTCTCCGACTGCTTTCCCCTGCGCATCCAGCCCCGAGGTGAGAAACGCCGCTCAGCTCAGCATGAGGGGCCCCAGTGACACCCCAAGATGTGTGTGCTGTGCGGCAGGGGAGGTACCGTCACACAGACGGTACGAGCTGTAACGAGAGAGCCATGTAAACGATAGAGGTGGTGCCCAGACCACCCGTCTCTACAGGTCGTTGGGTTGATATACATGAAATCCACAGGCAACTCTGTCTCCACTTGGCAGGACATCCTAGTTACGGGATAGATCCATTCCCGCTTCTCTGGGCTTACAGATCTCAAGAAATCATAAAAAACGAGTGGCATCCTCTGTAACACTTTGCATCATTTTCAACTTTTCACTGGGAGCTGTGCTAGGAGTCTTGTCTCCAGGGTAACTGTGCTAAACTAAGCCAGTGTTCCTGCTTTTTTCTAAGTCTTGGCTAGATTTTCCCAAGCAGCTGCTGGTTAAAAAAGTAGCATTTTTGCAAGCTTATTTGGGCACGCAGCCCTGCTCTTTCAGGCCTTAACCAATTCAGGATTTCCAAAAGTGGTCTCCATGCACCAAGACCTGGGAAGAAAGATGCTCAAACAAGTAAGGAAGCTGGACAGAAATAGCATCCCCCCCAGCCACAGGTCAGTAATTAGAAACCGAGTGACTGACCTCTCTCTTTACTTAAGCCACCCTTTTCCAAATAGACTTATAAAAATACACTTAGACACAAATGTACAGGCTTCTGCTGTGAGCTGCTTTTATCTGTGAAGGAGTTTCTGGATAAAATACATAAAGAAGCACTTGGATCAGACACAGCATCCGAACGCTGTAAGCACCAGGCTACAGTCAGAATCCCTTTTCTTTTGGGTCTCTCTGAACAGGAGCCATTTCTGTACCGTGGGTCTGCTTTGGTGCAGAGGTAGAAGGCACATTCTCCAAACCCAAAAGGGCCTGCAGCCTCTCTCATTCAGGAGGGATGGCTTTTAACTCAAACTAGCATGAAAATTGAACCCATCTCTTCCCCATTTAGGGCAACAGCTCCAAACCGCTAAGTACAAACAGGAGAACAAACAGTCCACTGACAAATTTTAAGCAAGCAGACCCTTCCACTTGATTCACATGGGGCAGGTGATCCAGTGGGCACCTCCAGAGCAAACCCACCCGATACAGCTCACAGAGAGGCAGACAAAGAAATACCAAAATGCTGCACCTTTTTTAGATCTATATAGGAAACTGGTCAGCAGCTATGCAGTTGCAGGCAGAATGAAACACCTCTTGACACATCAGAGGTAAAACTGTATGCCATTCTCCAGGAAACAAAGTCAAAAAATGATGGTTTTGTGGAATTTAGGTATTGCGAGGCTTAGCTGACAGCTGAGAAGGGATTTCCAGCTTCTGAACTTTGGCACCCAAGAGTTATTATACTCTTTATACCCAAGTCCTAGATTTTCCCCTAAAGATTTTGGGATAGAGCTGTAGGGTTTTTAGTACAAAGACAGTACGTGCCACTTCCTGGCATTAAGCAGAAATTGGTCTTCCCACACCAGCACTCCAGAAACTTCACTGAGCAAGTCCTGGATAATGTGACTTTTATTCAATTATCTTTGGTTACTCATCTTTTGAAACAGAACTGGAAGAGAGAAAAGGCAGCTTCTATCTCAAGTCATAGGTCCCTGTTAGCTAACTATATTCTGCCTGGATTTCCCGGTTAACAGAGCTAACGAAGCAGCCCTCTCCGTAGCGGGACAGGGGAAGCTTTCTGCAGTTTAACCCTGGCTACACAAGAGTGCCTCTAGGTAAAGATTGGATAAAATTGTCAAGAACTTGCTACCAAAGAAGACCATCCTGATCTACAGTCAACACTAGAGAGAGCGATGGGAGTGCTGTTGCATTGCCCAGTGACAGCTTTTAACTTTTGCTCTTTCCTCAGCACTGTGCAATTCTCCACCAGCTCCTGCAGCAGTGCAGACCCCTGAAATCTCCCAACAGCGGTGCAGTGGCCGGTGTTTTGGAAGAAATCTGAAATCAGCACAGACCACTTCAAGCCACCAGCCAGAGCAAAGACCAAAGCAAAGCAAGCTCCCATTTCCCACTGCTGGCAGCACAGCGGAGCTCACACCGCTGCACAAAAGCAGTTCAGTGAAGGAGCATGCCAGTTCAGCCACCCCGCTCCAGCAGCAACAGCTCAGCAACAGCTCAGCTCAGCTCAGCTCAGCTCAGCTCCCGCTCCCGCATCCCGCACCCCGCATCCCGCATCCCGCATCCCGCATCCCGCATCCCCACCCTCCAGGAGCCAGGCTGCCTGCTACCAATTACCCTTGCTTTTGATATGCCAGCAGAAGCTTTTGAGGAGGAATGCTGACAAGCCTAATCGCCAGCAGCTGCAGGGCCTTGCCAGGCTGTGGCAAGGGAACGTCCATTTGCCTTGACATCTTCAGGGGAAAGACATTTGCTATCACATCATCCTGGTAGCCATTTCCTTAATTACGGCTTAATTATGCCATGGGGGAAAAAAAAGTACAGGATATTAAATCCTGGCATGTGTTGATGAGGTATGTCTGGGTATGCCTTGTTCTTTGCTTCCAAAACATTTCCTAATGACAGAAGAGCGATGTTCTGCTGTCGCAAACCCTCCTTGCACGCTGGACAGGAAAGCTCCTGCACTGCACTGAATCTGGGAGTAAGGGTCTCAGTCAGCTCTCAGAATGGAAGTATATTTTTATAGCAGGTTTTCAGGTTTTTTATGGCTTTCTTGCGAGAGCATAAAAAGTTATTTTCACACTTTCTTAATCTAGAAGTGAGCTGCCTAGAATTTCTTCCTTAACTCCCTCAAAAGGATTAAAATGAGCTTCTTACATTTCTTTTCAGGACAATGTGTGCATCTAATTATGCTTCACTGTAAGCCTCCAACAAAAAAAACATTTATTGTAAAAACCTGCGCATTCAAATTCGCACTGTTTGATTACTTCAGACTGAAGAAAACTAAGTTAAAGCCACTCTTCAGAGAATCATTCCTTAAATCTAACGGAACTATAGCGTTTGTTTCTAGTTCTGCAAATAGCTTTTTTTTTAACTTTAGAAATCCCAATAGAAAAAGCAATGGACTATGCCTTCCAAATATATACAGTACACTGAGAATCTCTAAGTACAATATATCAAGTACTACATCATTGTGTGGTTACATTTTCATGTGCACATAATATAAATCTGACAGCCGTCAAAATCGTGGCTCTTTGTGCAGCCTATCAGGAACACACATTCTTAGAAACGAATCGTAAAGGTCTATTTCTTATTTACTAAATTAATTTATTTTATTTAATCTAATAAAAGACAATAAATTCACCAACAAAAGGATGCAGAAGAAATCAAGGGACTTGGTGACACTCCTCCTCAATGCACTGAGCACCCTGACCACCCTCTCTTCCTGGTTCCTTAAATCTGTGTAGCAAGCCAGTTCAGGATAACCTCCGGTAGGGGATGGCATAACATGAATGAATTTCAATGTAATGTCACCCTTTATGAACTGATCAAGGTTTCAGGTCAGCAGCAAGACTGCTGATGCTGTGAGCTTGGCAGGAGTCCTGCTGTAGGTATTGCCATCTCCCCGTGCCCTGCTGGAAGGTCCCGTCTCTGCATTTGGTTGTGGGCTGAACTGCAAGCAGGGAACTGATAAGGGTGAGAAATAAAAAAAAAAAAGGGAAAGGCTGGGACAGTGCTCTGATCTTGTTCGTAACATAATCCCACAGAGCAAGGAGGAGAAGCTGTGGAAGATGTCAATTACTACCAGGAAGAACTTTGCTTCGCAGCCCTGTTCGTCTCCACCCAGTCACAGATGGGGTGATTGCTTCTTAATGAATGCAAAAGGTCAGGTTAGGTGTAGGCGAAAATTGTATATAGTTTGATTTGACTCATCGTTTCTCAAAGGTATATTAAGGTATTAGACAAAGAGAACACTAAAGCTGCATTTCACTAATTTTCCTAGTTTGTCTGTATTTTGCAACATGGGGCTACATGCATTGGCTGGAACCCACGGACCCTCATCATCCACAGCTTGTGCCAGGGTAATTAGGCATAGAAACACCTCTGTAAACCCAGTATTTTGAAAAAAATCCAATGTTCCTTCACTGAAAAATGGGCTTTGACAATGTTAAGACCTGTATACGCAGTCCTGAAAACTTCAGCCATACATTCTCTTACCTTTCCCTAAAACATCATTTTTAATGTCAAAACTTGCATTTTGTTCATTCCTAAAGCACCTATGATTGACTCTTTTTTTTAACGTTGCTTATTTTAGGATCTTGCAACTCTGACAGCACTTGGACAAAGGAAATGATGCTGTTAAATCACCCATGGCTGTAAAAATTTAATGAAAATATTACCTGCCAAGAAATAGGTCTGACTAAATCACTCAGTATAGTCTGTTCCAGAGCCGTAGCTTCAGAAAGTATCAATCCCTAGCAAACAGGAAGTATTTCATTCTTGTACGAGATTCAGAAGTCTGACATACTTTAAATATTAAATAGTTGTTACGACACTATGGGGGAATTTTGCCCTATTGTCTTGGGTGCGTCTCGCCAGGATGAAGCTTTGCTTTGAAAAACCGAAATTCTGATAGGAAACCAGTGAACCTATGCTTAGGTTTCAATGATGTCCCAGAACAAAGCATTTTCATAGCAAATTCGGAAGCACTCGGTGAAAATGAATGGGGGTCTGTAAAGGATTTTTTAATTTGGGCATTTGATTCTCAACATATATGTGTTACAGATCAAGGGTACAAATATATTGACTTCTCGATGACCAGGGCATGGACAGGTTCCAGAGGATGGCTTTTATCATCCGATAGTTTCACATCAGCCGGAGCACGTCAGACACTTGGGGTTGCAGGTACCGTCCTGGTAGAGCCGCGCTGAAGCGCTTTAAATTGCGCCAGTGTAAATGCACTATGCAGCCTGAATTGCATTCTCAGTTTTGGAACTGTGTTCTCAGTACTTCCTGGTCAACTGTGTGTCAGCACATGTCTTGATCTGTTACACGAACTGCTAAAAATTATGCTGTGTTTCCTGGGTTTTATGTAGGACTTAAAGGAGATGGAGGTTAAAAAAAAATCTCAGACTAGCTGAGTAACGCAGTAATTAGCTGCCAGCAACCTGAGGCTGAGAAGAATCAATTTTTCATTTCGAAATGTCTTTTTCTTAGTAGGGTAGAATGCATATAAAAATAATCACTTTTTTTTGTTGTTCCCAAATAATTATCGTAGTTTTTGTTTTAGTGAGGGAAAGAAACTTTCATGTTGTGACTGTTTCTTAAAATAATTTGGGCATGAAATTAAAAAAAATATTTACTTATACGTTCTCAGTTCAAACCTTCATACATCATGGGTGTTGTTATAGGAATAGGTGAGTGCTCCAAAACTGTAATGCATTTTTTTCCTATTTCTGCAGTGTCTGGAGATAATTTACAGGTGGGAGACTGAGAAAGAAGGTAGATTCAGTCATCTGCCTCAGGTATGCTGGAATTATGTGGCTGAGCTGAGCACAAAATGCAGGTTTCCTTCAGTTATAGGACCAAAGTCATAGATTGTTTTGGACATTGGTAAACAACCCCAAATCTCAGTATAGGTCTGTGCTACAGTCAAAGGCATTACAGCAGCTTGTGTAAAACACAGCCACGCTGCGTTTAAACAAGGTAGCTCTGAAACTGGCAGCAGCAAGGAACTTGGCCTAGGTATGCTTATGCTGCCCAAATATTTACCCTAATTTCCAGGTGGGAGGTTGCAGCTACCAGTGAGTTCCAGGCTGCTACCTCTAAAGTGTCATCGATAGCTAGACTGGCCAACGTGAAGACTGGCTCAGAGTGTGCACCTGATCTGTAATCGTGCTTTGGCTGCCAGGTTATCAAAAGATGAGGGATGTCCCGCAACATACTTTTTTTTTTTGTGCTATTTATGTACCAAAGAACGCAGTTGTTGATGCTACTGAGTCATTTAATTTAATTCGGAGAAAGACAGCCATGTGTCTGGTCTCACCAGCTTTGAATCTGTCCAGAGGTTCAGAAGACCTCTGGTGGCTAAAGTGTCCAAGACCATGTTGCAATATTCAAGACAGCGAAAACCTGTCCAATGTATTTTAAGTGTGTGGAAAATCTGTGTTTTAAGTGTGTGGAAAAACAGAAAAGGCCAGTCCATTAGAAATGTGAGGCACAATGATTTTGTGAGAGTTGCGCATACCTTCAGTGTAATGACCCAAAGTGAAATTAGTCCGAGATGATGCCTCGGATACAGGCAAAGTGGCAGTCAGGATGATCAGTGTCACTTGCTGGATGTCACACCGATTTTGTACATACAAAAAATGAGTCCTAAAGAAATGACTAATTTGGAGTCTGTTCCAAATTTGTTGTAAGCCTTTTGGTGAATATCAAGGCTCCTTTATACATACAACAGAAGCATTTACAAACTATTTTCTCAGATAAAGTATTTCTACTTTTAATGTTTATTTATTAACCTGTTAGCATATCAGAAGATATATCAGATTTCTTCTCTATAGAAATATTCCATTGCTAAAGACGACTTGGGGTTTCCACATTATTCCGTTCTATGAAAAGCATGAAAATTACAATCTCTGGAATTAAGGGCAAAACTGAAGAGCTAACCATATAACATCATTCATTAGTGACACAAAGTGATGTTTTACGTACCAGAATAACAAGGTCCTCTTGATACCACTGTTATCTCTTTCTGATGCTTGCAAGCAGCTCTCCTGAGGAAGCATTCATTTTGGTAAGTGTCTCCATTTGATCCACAAACAGGAATATAGTTTGTGTGACACTGAAAAAGAAATTACAAAGTAATTCGGTCATACAAAATCATGTGATTAATCTCAACTGCATATTAATATGCAGGAAGACAGTTGTGTAAATATGAATTACTAGCAGTTACTTATAACCCTGTTCACTAAAGGAAGATTTAAAATTTATTAGTTTCTCAATATCACTGTATGTATTCCTTTCGGATCACTGAAATAATAGTCCAACTCTGTATGGGCTGAACATAGGAATTCAGTAGGAAAGATTAAAAGAACAAAATAACTATAGTGGGACTCAGTAACGGCTAGAGGGAATATGACAAGCATCTAGAAGTATTTGAAGGATAAATACTGAGGAAGGAGAAAACTTCTTCAAGATAATACAAGAATGTATGAGTAGGCACAGTGGGATGAAACTGAGCAAAGGAAAATTTAAGGTGAACAGTGCTTAAGAGGAGATTTGCTGATTTTTTGATCATAGAAGGATCTTTCAGGGGAGGTGGAAAACAATCACCATCCCCATTAAGTTCATGAGCATCATGAGTCTGTTTTACTTGGTCAACAACTATGATAATGCTTTTGTATTACTATATTGAAAAAATTCGAGCTTAAAGTCAATAACATTGATACATTTATTAAAAAAAAAGGAAGAAAGGAAAATTTATCATTTGGAATGGGTTTGGCAGGAGCAGCCTGTATTTTGCTATTTTCTTACATTCTAAGCAAGATGGATTGTATACCTCTTGTATGTATAATGTGTATTAAAACGCTGGGGAACACCCTGAGATGGCCAATCCACCTAACTCCTGCGAGTGCTGCACTGCTCAACCGGGGACCCAAACCCCCTTCACGGCGTGGAAAAGGAGACGTTGCCCTGTTTGGGGCTGCAACGGTACCTGTACTTCCAGACACCTTTTGCATCTTTAAAACCCGAAGGCCAAAAAACCCAAACAACAAAAAGCAATGAAGAAAGACACAGACTAGCCACCAAATTTCTTAACCATATAAAGTGTATGATTAAACTGGTATAGTTCAACCAGTGAGAGTTCACAGAGAAATAGCAGCATTAGTTAAGCTAAACTGCCCCAAAATAACAAGAGTTTCTTCTCCAAATTGCAAACAACAGTCTCTGCCACAACAGTTTCTTTGTGCTTTGGCATACACAAACCTCAAAATACTCAATTTTAAAACGTAATTTTGAAGGGAATTATCCTTCCTCCTTTGTCATCCTGCCATAGATGACCACATGAGAAGGAACTAAGCATGCACGGACAAAAATAAATCATGCTGCCAGCTCTGAAGATTATTTCTAACAGTTTTATAATACTTTCCCATAGTGAGTAGCTCTCAGACATTCAACCACAACCGTCAGTCCTGTCACATCTCACACTGAACGGTCGCTTCTAGGGAATAATTAAACAGGCAACTCTTGGAGGGAACAATACTTTCCAATAGATAATTCTCTATTCAATCTTAAAGTTGCTGTGTGATGTTTTAAAGTTGCAGGCTTCTGTCCTGAGGATAGAAAATGAAAGATAAAGTGATTCCTTTTCTACAGTTTGGTAAGCCTTTAGTGATTTGGTACAGTGCAGCCAGAAGTTCTCATGTAAATGTCCTTTAGGAGTAGAGTTGTTTTCTTGTGAGGAAATCCTCTAATAGCCCGAATGACCAAAAGGCAGAGCATCTCTCCATGGCCGGGATCTGCTCTGCACAACATCCTGTGGGAAAATCCATCCGGGCTCCGTCCAATGCTGCGTGATGGCGGGGTGCCCAGCATTTGAAGGGATGTATTCCTTTTCCTATTCTGTCTTATTAAAGCAGTTATCTCATCAAACCGTTTGTTGTCAAGCCTTTCTTACTGAGATCGAAAGAGCCCCGTGCCGACTCTCTCTCACCTCACCTCCCCCCGCCAGTCCATAACACACTCACTAGGTGTTGATCAGCTTGTAATTTAGGTTTTGTAAAATGTCATCCAAATTACAGCAAAAGACCTTTCCAAAAGTTTGGTGAATATGTGTTATCCCCCACCTCCGTTGTAATAAAAAGGGTGTTATCCCCCACCTCTGTTGTAATAAAAAGGGAGTTATCCTTTTTGCTGACTGGGCCTGCAGAGGGACAGGATATCATTAAAGTCACTGCAAGCAGAGCCCAGCTGAATCCTTCAGCACCTCTCCTACGGTCTGATTTGTAAATTTGATTCGGGGGAATCAAACTTCGGTGTCTCGCTTTGTGTTAGGTGACTTGGCAAGACAGAGAAAGCCTACAAGGTGTTCAGAGGGGTCACGGCCCGCAGAGCTCTTGCTGCCGTGACATTATAGCTGTTTCAGTGACAACGCTGAAATTTGGCAGCCAGTCATCTCCAGAGGGGATCCTAGGAGGAAAAACTACGACTCGTTAATATTTAAAAAAGACCAAAGAGTTAAGAAATGCTGCCAGGCTGGGTTGGGTGGCAGATAAAGAGGAGGAGGAAGGCGTGGTGATGCCTGGAAGGGAACAGAAATCTCTATGCATTTTCCTGAATCTGTGGGATGGTTTGGCCTTAGTTCAGGGGTGGCTGCGGATAGCCATGCCCCTCTATTCCCCAAAACTGTCCCGCTGTCAGGCAGCCAGGGCTATAGCCTCACACCCAGCAGCAGTCCCCCTCCAGCAGGAAAATCCTCACTTGACCAGCACCCGGACCCGAGACCATTTTAATTAGGCAACTCTCTCGCTAGAGTGCATTTTTCTAAAAACTGCAGTTTTAAGAGCATAAGAAATGCCTTGGTGGATCGGACCAGGGGTCCGTTTATCCAGGTGCTCTGTCCTAGCTGTGGGGAATAGGAAACGCACTTCAGGGAGAACAGCTTGGTATCCCCACCTCTTCCTTTCAGCGCGTGTTCAGCTGAACCACTGTACACAAATTTGTCTAATCCCTTTTCAATGCCTTGCGATGTCTGCAAAAAAAATTGCCTAGCTATCAGATAGTCTTGCACATAGAAAACCTAACAGTTCGGGCTGGGTGTTTGTTGCCTGGGATATTTTGGTGGTGCTAGTGGCAGACGAATGATTAAGGTTGAGAGTTACAGGAAGGATCCAACCTGCTATGTCTGAAAAATACAACACCTTCTCCCCATCCTTAGACTTCTTTCCTTAGATTTTTCAAGATGTACAAGTAAAGTTATATTTAGCTTAAAAATAATATTAGTTTTAAACTGGGTTCTTCAAGAAAAAGTATCTTTTTTAGTCCTCATGACCTGGATATTAGGAAGTTGTAAAATTTACCACCTACCGAAAATAAATGAAATCTTTGCTTAGCCTAGGGTTGAATTTCTTTTCCTTTTTTTTAATCATTACTGGGTCTTGATCTTATTATTTTTCATAAATAAAGGTTACAGACAGAGTGAATAAACCTCTTCCCCTAACAATTTCTCCTCCCTTTAAAAGGCAGTCGGGTCCCATTGTTCTTAGGGGACATAAGCTGCAGGATGTCCTCGGCATAGGTACCCACCTGAACGACACCACATCAAAAGCCAGCTCTGAAACACTGGAATCCAAAACCAGTGTAAGATCACATGCACACTGTCGCTATTCTGATTCCCCTTGATTTATTATTTATTGGAAACAGAACACACGATTGTTTTTAAAACACTGAAAGATAGCCCACTCCAGGGTTGGTTGATAACACTGGCACCTCTTCCAGTTTTACCAGGAGTCTCATAATATTTAATACATTTGCCCTGGCTATAAATTGTAAAAGCAAAGAACCTCAGTATTCTCTTTTCTTTGAAAAGTGGGGGGCAGGAAGGGAGGAAGAATTGCCATGGTAGATACAAAAACTGTAAACTCAAAAACCAATGAAGCAAATTGAACTTGCTATTTACTACTTTTTAAAAGTTCAGAGGATATTTTTTAATCAAATTTCCATACTTTTTTTTTTTTCCTGAGTGGGACTAATTCAGTGTTTTCATTCATAAACTTTATGATCACTGGCGATCCTGTTATTATCTGATTTTCAAAATGCCTTAAGACCTTACAGGGTCTAAAGTACTACATTTGGCCACCAGCAGAGCAAGGAAAAACCCTCCAAATACTGGGTATTAGAGTAAGCAATCCATAGTAAATACTGCATTTAAATTAAAAAGCTTCATCTGGTGTGACAACGCTTGGATGCCCTGCTCCCGGTCACCTCCCCTCCCGTCTCGGGTCTCGGGGCAGGATGAGGCAAAGTGGGGAGGCAGAGAGCGGCTGTCACCCGGCGCTCCCCACCTCCGCTCGTGCCGGTCGCGGGGCCGTGGGTGCCCGGCACGTGGTGGCCCTCCGTTCTTCCCCACATCGGTCTGTGCTTGTGGCTGACTTACCAAAACCGTGCGGGGAGCTAACGTGGTGCTACACTCGCCGCTTGCTCCCTGAGCACACGCTGGTGAAGTTCAGTCACATACCATCCCAATCGGTGCCATTAAAAAAGGAGCCTATGGTTAGATTATATATGTCGATGAGTGAAATTTTTAACGCCGTGATTCTACAAATACTTCAATACACCCAAAAGATTGGTCAGAAACGGCAAACAAAAAGGTGAGCAGCCCTTACCTGGAACTGACACGCACATTTCAAGCCGTCACCCTCTTCCTTGCACACTCCTCCGTATTTACATGACGATTCATCACACACTCTTACGTCGGATTCCCTTACATTTAACTCTGCAAAAAAAAAATAGAAAAAGGAGACAGAAAAAAAATTGTAAGATGAGTAATTTTGGGGACTGTCTTGTCCTCAAACCCACTGAGCTCCCCCCGCTGCCTTACACCCATATGGAAATTAAAGGAAAAAGCCAGAGCTGTTCCCAGGCTGCCCTGCGTCGGCTCCGTCCGGCTCCCCAGAGGCAGCTTTGCCTGGTTAGCACAGCGGCTGTGGCTAAATGCCGCTTCACCACGCAAACAGATACAGAGCAGGTGGGCGTTTACACCACCCAAATTCTCATCCCCTGCCAGGGATGCCCCCAGTACAAAACTTTCCTCTGCAGAAATTATGCCTAGCAGGAGTCAGGACCTTTACAAGAGCCATAGCCCGTGTTTCTCACCCGCTACCTCTTTTTGCCTTACTCACCACTAAGGTCCTCAGGAAGAACAACAGCTAAAACATCAGAATTTCTCTGCCCAGCTTTCCAGTCTCCGCCTTGCCCACACTGTTATCCTTCAGACTAAAAATAAACTGAAGTGTGTTTAAACTACTACAATTTGCTTGCACTGTAGGAGCCAGAGTAGTGAACCAGAGCCCTCTGCCTCAGCTGCTGCATAAAAATACGGAGCACAAATAAGTGCTCAGTAAGCCAGCAGCAGAGGTACAGCCAGCAAGAGGGAAACCAAGGGGCTGTATACATCAACTGCATAGGCGATAGCTCCAACACCAAAGTTGCTTAAATGGCTTCAAGCTTTTTTAGGCATCATATCCAAGGGTAGTTTTAAAGGAGAATAAATATATTCTTTTGAAATAAGTATTTGATTTGAACTATATACAGGAAAGAGAGCAAAAGAAGGCATTGGTGGAATAATGGAAGTGGTCACTGTTAGCCTAAACATGACCTTGCCAGGTCCCCCTGCATGGGAAGAGTGCTGTTACTATTGATTGCAATGAAAAGGCGAAAATAACACAAAGGGCTCTGGAAAAATCCCCTGCCACTGTTTAAGGCTGCACTGATATCAAAGGATATAATTTGAAGCTGTCTGTGCTTCGGCTCGAGTCAGAAACCTTCAGGACTCTACAGTAATATGACCCACTAAAGAGATTCATTGACAGCGAAGTGATTTAAAATAATGTCTGTGACTTTTAATAAGCAAGCCCTACCCAGATAACTGGCTTAAAGAAAGTGCTGAATACCAGCCATTCAAAAATGGGGAAAGGTAGGCCAAAAGCAGAAGAAAATAATGCTCGCTGCCACTTACAGTCTTAAATAGGCAGTCACCCTCCTGCTCACAGCAGTGTCAGCACTTCGGTATGACAGTGACAGACACCCTGGAAAACTGCTCCTGTGGGTTTACGTAACATTATACACCCACACACATAGTTTATATAAATAAATATATAATTATATAGTAATTTGTGTAATAAATTATGCTATGTGTCATATACTTCGGTATTTAATACAGCATAATTACGTATTTTTTCATAGCACTAAAGTTACAGGATTACAGCTCAACAGAAGGTCCAGTTATAATCCACATAGTTTGTCAACTGTGAGAAAAAATATTGATTTTTTTTCCCTACGTCCATCATTCCCAAAGGCATAAATGAGGAGGGCAATGCATGTAACACCGGGTATTTAGGTATCCTGGTTGCCATCACAACCCCGCACACGTGTTCTCTAATGTTATTCTTAATGTCGCCATTTATCAAGCGCGACTGCTGCGTTGTAGGGATCGAGTTAATGTGACAGAACACCGCAGCTTTTCAATTTAGTGTGGTCATAACTCGCTTCTGAAGGAAATGTGCCTTCCTTTCTCCTCGTGAAGATCTGTTCCACGAAGACGAACAAACCATCAAAATTAATTAAGGGGAAATGATTGTCATATCTGAAAGAAGGATCCACCTTTAGGCGATACCGCATTTGAGAAAATGCAATTTATAAAAGGGAATAACCAGACAGACAAATTACAGTGTGAGCAGCCTTCAAAATCCTGTTCTCATCAGCTCAGGAAACTAAAGAGGTGTGGGTCCTCCTTCTCAACTCTCAGCCGAGCTCACTGGGCTCGGTGCTTGGCAGCGTCCTGCCCGACACCCCCAACCAGCAGAAGAAACCCCTTGGCAGCTGCAACTCGTGCTTGAAATCCTGAGGGTCTACAAGATGTCCAACTGCCCAAGCAGCGTAGCGCAGACTTTCCCCCGACCTCTGTGTCCCCCAGAGGGACGAGGGCACACGACCGCCATGGAGGGGGCAAGGGACCTCACTTTTCTGCATGGGAGGGGAGGGACGCAGGGGTGAGGTCAGAAACAGTCCCCAGCTAGCAGTTCAGCATCCAGGCTGAACCGGAGATGTACTTGTTCCTAACTTAGCTATTGCTCTGGCTGCAAAAGCCAGAGAGAAAGGGAAAGATTTCAGAACAAAACTATAACAGGAGACGTGAAGATGGGGGGGGGGGAGTCAGCCCTTGTGAGCCCCCCTCACCCCAAGAAACTGAGACTTCTTTTTTTTTTAAAAAAAATCCACAGGAGGAGTTAAGAAGACACAAAGCACACCGTTTTAATGGTTACTTCATTTTAGGAGTGGAGAGTTTTTATTTCACATAAATGATAAATACTGATTATAAGCTTTTTTCGCATGAGATGAACGCTGAGCAGGGAAGGTCATGCAGAGACCAGGCGCCAAAGCGATTTTCCAAAACCGTACGAAAGACAAGATACCCCAGTGACCGGCACTTGAACGTGACAGATTAACTTTATTCTATGTCAGGATGTCACCTAATGCCTGCTTCCATTCAATGGCAAATTCCAGCAGGTGCGAAATCAAGCCCCCGACATGCGCACGATTGCGTCTGATGGACTTACAAGCACGGAGGAGTGTGGTGGCCATCATGACTCCCACATCTACGGCGTTCGGTTCAAAAATGAATAGATGAGAATGGATGTCAATAGAGCGATGTGATGAGGAACAGTGGATGTCTCGCATGTCTGAAATATGCTCTCTCTTCAGTGGATTCCCCACAGAGAGAGAAATAAAATGGAGTTTCTGCAATTATTTCCAGAAGAACAGAATCGTTATCAACATATGCGAGAACAGACCTATGAAAGGAGTAGGAACACGTAGCAAATGGTTTAGGGTAATTTCTTACATGTTTCTTTAATGCCTATCACAACTCATTTCCTAGACTTTTAGCAGGTATAAATAAGAGAAAGCCTCAGTGTGATTCATTACGTACAGCGAGAAGATGGTAAGCAGTAATCCATCAACTCCCAGGAGAAAATATAATTAGCGCAATTAAATCAGGCTTCCAAATTTATGATAAAATTAATCTCCAAAGACCTGAAATGAGGTATTAAAAATGATTTGCTAGTATCTGTGCAGCCAATAAAGTTCCTGGTGGTGTAAGGGCTGACCGGCACAGAGCAGCTTGCAGGAATTTGGCTGCAAAGACCCACATCAAGGTCTTTTCGGGTTTTTTTCCTCTTTTGAAATGAATTCACTTTGAGATAATTTGATACATCAATAAAAATGAGTCAAGCCTTCTCCATTTTGACTCCTTTCAGAGAATTTGAAGTACAGCTCAATACAAGGAGCTGGAGATTAGCTTTTTGCCTGTGACCTTCAAATGCATTGCTCTGAGGCGTGAACCTCTCGTTACAAGCTAAATTACACGTGTCAAAATGCTGATCCTGAAGATGAAATCAAATTTGTAGGTTTAAGTACATCAAACATGTTGCTTCCATCTGGATACTTTGAGAATAAAATAAAATCTAAGATGGGCTAATCTGGTAACAATTTGTTTTTTCAAAACTCATGTTTCTCCTGGGGATGGCAATGGTACAATAGTAATGATGAATGGATATAAGGAACCAAAAAAATACCTTTCCCGCATGGAAGTGAGAGGATGGGCTTAGTAGCAGTGCTGCCAGCTTTGGCCCTCCTGAATATTTCAGCTGTGCCTGGGAAAAAAACTCTCTGCCTGCCTGCCTGCCTTTTTTCTGTTTCCTACGGGTAAGACCCCAACCAGGGGAGGTGCCGGGACCCCTCGCCCCCTTTTCCTCTTGACCTACGGGTTTGGTAGAAGATGGGGAGCAGCTTGCACCATTCTCACTAGAGGGAAAAAGCAAAGCAGTGTGGGGCACCTCACTGCTGCTTTTCTGTCCTCCAAACAGTTTGTTCTTTGTGAAGCCAAGCTTTAAATTAGGATGTACGACCTCTCGTGGAGGTCATATACAGACACACACAGAGACCCGGGAAAGTTCATAAAGGGTCTGCTACTCTACGGGTTAAAAGAACCCCCAAAATTGTAAGAACAGCTGAAGGGGGTCAACATTGGCTTGGGAAAGGGCTCAGAGGAGAAATTATGTTGTGTGAGGGTATGTTAGAGCCCACAAAGTATACTGGAGATAGTGGCATTATGACTGGATGAGCTCTCAGGACCACAGAAGAGAGTCAAAATCTGATGAGCAGAAAACCTATATCCTACTCGATTTTGGGAGTCAGTCTTATGACTCCGGATGGGCTTCGTTCTGGTTTTGACAAATTATTTAGGAATGATTGGAGAACTTAATGGGGAAAAAAACAAAAAAGAAAACCTTTTCCTTAAGGATTATAAAGCTGAGCTGCTCACGCGACAAGTACAGTAATAACCTGTGTCTTAAATCTAACGCTTGAATACAATTTCACCTACCAGTCACACCCTTTGCCCCACAACAAAGATGACACTCAGAGACAGTCCTATGTCCTACTTGTTCCCAAGCACAGCCTGTCCACTTGAACCATGAAGGTGAGTTTGGGTAAATAAAATCGCTGCAAAAAAGGTATTTTGGATGCCCCTGCAATACCTCTGCTTGCCTCCAGCTGCCAGCTCAGAACAAAACAGCACAGCTCTCCGGTAGATCCTACCAATCCCATGCAGACATACGAGCATCCCAGCTGGTACTAGCTTAAATCACTTTAGATTACCATCGCCTACAGTGGCTTTGACGTTGGGTCAGACACTTAGCTCACATGTACACATCG